CTTACTGTTCGCTGGTCTTTATTCATTTATACAAACTTCGACAAATTCTTTTCTATCCCATTTTTCAAAATGGTTTATACGTTCCCTTAAAATTCTTTGTTTTCGTACAGGCACCTCCTCATCGTCGCTATAAACGTTAATATCGATGAAATCCATCATTTTACTGATGACTGTTTTATAAAATCAAACGTCAAAATATGAAACTATTAGTTAACTGATACTTTGAGTTCTGGTTAAATGAAATTAGAAGTTAACTTTAAACTGTTAGTTAACGAAAATGGAAAAACACTGCAGGCCTAGTTAACTGTGAGTTAGGTTAAACCGTAAGTTAACTAGAGATGGAAAAACCCACCCTTAGAAATTAAAAACGTCATTAATTGTCATAATTTTCTCATTTTGCTGACTATGACATTTTGATAAATTTTAGCGTGTGTGTCAAACTGTTGCTGCTTGCGTACAGTACGCATAATGCAGTACTTACTGAATTTTTTCGAAAACAAGCAACTTCTGCAGTAAGTAATGTATTTGAACGTAATAATCGGTTTATTAATGTTTCAATAGCCTAATACAAACTGTAATTTACATCTTAAACAAACAGGAGATACTAGGGAAGTTAGGGTGTAATTAATTGGAATAATTTTCGTATTTTGATGACGTTGACAGGTATCTTTGGTGCTAAACTGCCTGTTGCATGCATACGGTACGTATTTAACATGCAGTTTCGCATGTTTTTTTTTCCTATAATATTTCATCATCAAAAAAAGGGATTTTTAACAACAAAAGGCTTCATATTACGCATAAGAATATTCTGAGCAAGTTAAATGTAAGTAGTCTGCAGTATGTGTTTAAAAAAAAAAGTATATTTCCACTTTATGAATTGTGTCTGGACATGTTAAGTGGGTGCTGATGTCCTAACAGACCCACTCAGGCGGAAATTGACATCTTTAGCAAACAGAAGTGATTAGGGAAGTAAAAACAAAATTAAGTTTCACTACTTTAGCATTTTGCTTAAATTGCCAGGGATTTACGTATTTATTGGACAAACTAATTAGAGGTTTTTAATGGTGTAATGGACCAATTCAAGCGAAAATTTAAAATTTCAGCAAGAGTGGCATACTTGGAAACTAAAAACGTCATTAATTGTCATAATTTTCGCATTTTGCTGACACTGTCAGGTAAATAAGTTTGTGCCAAAATGCCTGTTGCATGCATGCGGTACGTATTTAACAGGCAGTTTCGCATGATTTGTATTTTTCCACAAAACTGTAAATCTAAAAAAAGCGGTTTTCTCTACTTTTACGTTTTCTCTACCTTCCGTGACACCTACAGTACGAAGGTGTCCCGTTTCTGTCTGTCTGGCCGTCTGTCTGTACATCTGTCTGCGGTCCCGGATTTTTATGAATTATGATACAGATAATCTACGAGCCACCGATTGTTGTCAAATTTTGTATTTAAATTAGGAATATCTTGTAGGTAATATTAATTCCCGCTTGAATTGGGCTATTGGAACATCGAAAACCATTAGCACACCCAGATACAATCTATCCCATAGAAATTCCTAGTTTTTTAAGCAAATACAGTATAATCAGCGTGCTTAGAATATTCTTATGAGTAACATAGAGTGTTTTGTTCTTAAAAATCACTTCCTTTTTGATTTAAAATTTTGGGGGAAAATAAATGTCATGCGAAACTCCCTGTTAAATGCGTACCGAACGCATACAACAGGTAGTTTGGCACACACTTTAGTCCCGGTCACTGTTAGCAAAATGCGAAATAAAGACAACAAATAATGCCTTTACTTCCCTAGTATTTTCTATTTGTTAAAGGTTTCAATTTCCGCTTGACTTGGGCTATTGGAACATCTAAAACCACTTTGAATTTCCAGATACAAACAATTGTGTCGAAATGTTTTATTTTTTAAAAAAGTAATTCTAGGGGTGACGTACTTAGAATATTCTTATACGTAACACAAATCCTTTTGTGTTACGTATAAGAATGCCAAAGTGCCTTTTAAATATAATTAAATTTTGTTTGGCCATCTATCGTCGAGGGGCTGAACTATGCCGTATTTTCCTTATGTGCGAAACTGACTAATTTATGCGTTTGATCTACTACAGTGTTGCCATAGTGTGCCGACCGTGCCAAAGTTCCGGGATTATATACATATATACCTGTATGTACCACTTCGTAAGAATGTGCAAAGTTCACAACAAACTTCGCAGAAGTGGTGGTGTAAGAATTTTCATATTAATGAGTATCCACAAACATACCATAAACAGTTGTGTTCTTTCAAGGTGAGTTTCCGGTAACTCACATCACTTAATGATTGTTGAAGAGGCTGGAATACAGGGGAGATGTGTTGTGGAAGTTTGTTTAAAAGAACACCTTTGCAAATTTTTCATTTCAAATAAAATAGTGTTTCACAGTTGGTTCTTGCACTCGTATCGAAATAATCTGTAGTAAATAGTTTCCGAAACACACTTTGGAATTATATTGGTGTGGGATTTATACAATTCCCAAATTGACGTCTCACAGAGCCAAACAAATACATATGTCAAACAATACTGATTTAGTTGCAGCAACCTTTTAGTGAAAATTGTAAATAAATTGTATTCTGTGAAAACTATTAAAAATAATAAGCAAAATATTCATGTTCCTGAGGTTGTTTTTTATTTTTTTGTGAGTGATTTAAAAATATTAAGAGTGAAATAAAAATTTTGCAATTCACTTGTGGATAACAACTTATTTGTCAGACTTGTTAAGGATTTAATAAACGCAGTTTAAAACGTCAAAATTGAATAAAAATGTTTTGCTTGAATATATTAATAATTTATAAGAAAGAAAAAAGTGGCCAATGTCACTAGTACATGCCACCCATTTTTATTTTTGTGTACCCGTTCCGCAAATATTGCTGAAGTTTCGTTACTGATCTACTGTGGTGATAACAGAGTGTCTCCTGGCGATGTACTAATTTTAATCGTAATAACACAAATAAAATAAATTATTTATTAAAAATAGAACAAACTGTCAACAACCTCTAAAACTTGCAAGACCTTTATAAAGTGTCACACACTTACAATATTTAGAAAACCACACGTACAAGATAGAAACGTCAACTTTTATAACGACGCCATGTTGGTATTCTGAAAAGTGTCATAAAAAAACGTGTTAGTCATACCACGTAACTTACCATTGGGTCTCATTTCGTACACGACCAAATCACCCTTTTCGAAGTCCGTTATTGCTTGATATAACCCGTGTAAAAAGTACCTCACGATGTGCTTATTTTCCTCAGGTACGTCGTCCCAAGCCCTCGGACTTTGATAACACAGAAGCCACACTTCATCCGGCTTCACGTAAGCCCAGTCGCCGTCGTCGAAAACCACCAAATATCTACAACCAATCGCGACATTACACGCGCCGAGTCGTTACTTTGACAGACCTTTGTAGGTTCTGGTTGGTTGGAAATTCCATAACCACGCCCTTTTCGTGCTTGCGTCGTCCTCGTGACAGTTCGCCGGTGGTCGATAGTTGTTTTTTCAAAGCCACGACACGGCTGCCAACCTCTAGGACTCGGGTGGGCGGTTCAGGGTAGGCTATGTTTTTTTTGGTGGTTATTATGTCGTTGAAGGTTTGGTTGTCGGCGAGGTGGACGACGTCTTCGCCGACGTGGATAAGTTTGGCTTTTACCCACTTTTTGTTGTTTTTGTTGGGGGTGAGGTAGGTTTCCATGAGTTCGAATTTGGGGGGTTTGGGGTCCAGGGTGCTGCCGAACGGGAACATGGATTCGACAGCAGACTCGGTTTTTAGGGAGTTGAGGGCTAGGGGTAAGGGTTTGGGCATGGGTCGTAGGGGAGCAATGTGTTCCACTTGGAGGTCTAAGCAAGTAGTTCAAGTTGAACAAATACAAATTAGTAAATGGTAGTGCCGTTTTCACGCTTGAAAAACCCGTGTGTAACTGTAAAATATTTCTGCGCATGTGCTACTTACCCGGGCACTGAATTAGTTTTTTCAGCAGGTCTAGCGTCTCCCGGTGGTCACGCCTGTGGTATTCTATTGTCTTAGGTGGAGACCAATGCCACTTTTTGGTGGTTTCGTTGAAGCTCAAATTTCTTTCTTCAGGGTCCATTATCTGATTCTTAGTAACAGCAACAAAAAAAATTGACGGAAGAAATGTGACTTTCGGAACATTGACAAACAAGGTGTGTTGATTTTTTGTTTTTATAATGGTGTCGTTGCTTTGGTAACGGGTGCCATTGTAACTATGATTATTTTTCAATCAAGGATTAACTTGAAAAGTAACTAAATTCCAGGTTATGTTTGTTTTTTGTGCATTAAGTTTTCGAAACTTAAGGTGTTGCGTTTATTGAATGTCTATACTGCTAGGAAACAATCAGTTGAAAGAAAAAATAACAAATTGGAAAATTTATTTCTGATTTATACAGGGTCATTATAAAATACTGTAGTCAACTCACCTATGAAAAACGTTTAAGGGCTTTGTCATGAATTACACCTTGGAAAGTCGATTGGAGTTGAACAGAATAAATCATCTGGTCTGTTTTGCAAAGAAGCAATAATTTTTCAAATAATGAAATCCAAAAAGTGAGGTTAAGTTTGTCGAAACCAATGAACACGGTAATTATTTAAAAAATTACATTTTTATAGGTACCCTGAAGGTAAAAATTGTGAAAAATCACGTAATGGACAATGGCAGAGCAAGTCTTATAACAGTTAACGAACACTATGAGTACCTAATGAGTTTTTGCAGTAAATAATTTTGCCAAAGTTGTGATCCCGCGAAAGTTCTGTTTGTAAATTGTAAGGAATCGTCAAAATATTGGTGCAGACATGGTTTGTGACCGGTGCTTTTCTCTTGAAAAAACACAACTGAAAGCCTTGATCTTCATCCCTATAATAGGTGAAAACTGCTATGTCCAAACATTACCTTCAGCTTTGCAGTTTCTAGATATCTGAAACATGCCAGATCTGTATAACAGGAATGTCAAAGAGGTTCTACCCAAAACACGCCCACATGGCCATCCTAATATCAAGATTTTTCAAAATTTCTATAACAAAAAAGATGAAAAAACCAATAAAATTTCAGGAGCATAGTGTTAAGAGTTCTGTAGATGATTATGAGATCTCTTGAAACAACAGAATGTTTAATAAAGATTTTTAACTTTCCTAATAGTAAAATTACAATTATTACTAAACAGTAAGTTGAAGTAAGTTTTAAATTAAGAAAATGCAACTAACACCGAAAGAAAAATGAAAGTTACTGAAAATAAAAAACTTTATTGCAGTACCTACATACACTTTCTACATCTAATTTTGTTTATTGATCACATTCATTTACTTGAAAAAGTATCAGGCCTATGAATCGTCGTCTGGAAACAGCTAACCACACACCAACCTTCATTGCGTGTGATGGTGTTTCTTCAAAAGCGTGAGTATTTTCTATACACCAAATTCTGAAGTTCTGTCAGTTGACATAATAGCCTAACAGATGAAACCAGGCTTCATCAGAAAAGAACGACAAATCGAGAATCCCGTTATCGTCCATATCAGCTTGAAACCAACTACAATACCCAACGCGGCAAGGAAAATCAGCTGGTTGCAGCTCCTGAACCAACAAAATCTTGTATGGATGCATATGTAACTTCTCTTTTACGATTTTCTGACATGGGCTGTATGGTACTCCGGACAGTAAAGATTTTTGACAAAGCTTTATTCGGACTTTGTTCCATTCTCATCCTTAAATCTTCAACAACGTCTTCACTAACTTGAGGTCTCCCCGTCGGTTTTCACTTAGAAATGCTACCAGTGTCGTTAAATCTGGCCATAATTCGCCATATAGCGTCTTCAAAGATTCTTCATCAATGACAACAGAACATTTCACTAGATACTCGTTTTTAGACGCCTCCACAGAGTACACTCCATCCCCATCCTCATTTAACACCCCATTACGGTAATAGGCATGATGATTGCGCCAAAGAACTAAAAAAATCATTTGTAACACTAACCATAGTTATTCCTCTCTGTTCATTACCTGAGATTATTCCACAATGATCTGTAGTTTTGATAAAAACTGTTTTTTGAGACACTTATTAAAGTTCTAACAATGGGGAAGACAGCAAAAATGAAAACAAGACAAGTCAATTAACGCACAAAGTGAGGGAAAACGTACCAGTACAAACGAAAAAATTATTGACATCTGACAGAATTAATAATGTCTGTGCTAATCAGCGTTGCCACGCCGTTTTACTTACTATCGGTAGATTTCTTGGATAATTTTCGGTAAATTTCGGCATTTTTTCGGTAGATCGGTTTTTTGTGATAGAAAAGGTATTACACATAAATAATAGGTACGTTTTTTTTTTATCATATATGAAGAAGGTAGAAATATTTTGTTATTAAAAAGAAACAAATAAAAAACAAATATTAACATAGATCATTTAAAAAAATATATCTATGAGTAAGCATGCTAAAGGTAGTAGGAACATTTTGTTAAAAATAAAAACACAATGAAACTATAATATTCCCCTTAATTATTGCCTCAGGTGCTGAACTGTTTCGGGGATATACTGAATTTTGTCTAACTAATTAAAAAAAAATCCCCTTTTAATTATAACGCGCTTAAAAAGAATAGATATTTGGCGCTATCTGTAAAAATGTATAGTGGTTACGCTGGTGCGTAATAGAGGGAACTAAACAAATCCGCAGAACTAAATCTATACTGAAAAAAATATTAAGAAATAAAATTATATAAAAAAAATTATTGAAAATTTATAAATACATTAAAAATAAATTCTTGAAATATCGTAGACTTTTCGGTAGACAGAGCCCAAAATCGGTAGATCTACCGAAAATTCGGTAGAAGTGGCAACACTGGTGCTAATGTCAACTAATGTGGCGCTAAAAATAAAAATTCCAATATTAGTGTAATCCTTTCCACAAAACTGAAAAAGGCGGCACAAAATGTCACCAAAATCATGGCCTTCTTCGACTACAATATTTTATAATGACCCTGTATAAGATATACAAAAGAGGCGTTCTTACCTCCATATCCGTATATGAGTGGGTACTCGTAGTTTGTTGTTACCTCCAACAGCGTTGTCAAGTTTATACACAAGCTATCCTCTTTTACGTATATAGCTATTTCACACCAAATTAGATATCTTGATTTCGTGCGATCATTCAAAGAAAGTGTTTAATTATATTGCTGAATTTTTTGGATATTTTTGGTAAAAATTGCAAAATGATTCCATTTTTTTTATAGGAATAGCAAGACATCATCCTAGATATGCATAAAAAAGTCGATCGAAGGTTATTTCGACAGAACTTTCCTCGCCTCTGAAGTACAATCAACTCCAGCTTTTTTGAAAATTATTTGATTTTGCGAATTTTACTTTTTACTTTCCAAACGTAAGGACGTATTGTAAACGGGTCCGTCGGCTGAGTCTCTACTTATACGTTTTCTCGACATTTTATAACCCATAGAGTACGAAAAAATGGATCTCCCGTTTCGGTGTGTGTGTCTGTCGGCCGTCCGTGACGATTTTTGTTAGACGATTATCTGTCTAACAAAAATCGTCACGGAGGAGAAATAGGTTTAAACTGTGTAAAATAATATAGTCCTACACGTACAGTTTATGAATCCGTGTTGAGTTTTTACCCGAAACGAGCAGATTTATGGAAGAAAAATCAAAATTATATAACAATTGTGTGTTGCAAGTTAAAACTTACATTGTAAAATATACAATTTTAATTTTTTTTTTTCCAAAAATCTTGATGTTCAGCGTGAAAACGCAGTACGAATTCATACATCACAAGTGCAGGAATATCGTATTTTATAAAATTAAAAAAATACTATTGTAAATTTTGGATCATCCCATTGGTGGGGGGATGATTAATCAACTTTTGGTCAGCGTTTTGCAATATACACGATATTCTTAACATAAGTATAAAATTTGATAACAATTGGTGCGGTAATTTCGAAGATTATCAGTCTAATAAAAATTGACACAGACGTTGGAGAGTCAGGCGTCAGAGAGACGGAACCGGGAGACCAAATTTTTCGTACTCTAGACGTCATGAAACGTCAAGAAAACATGCAAGTAGCAAGTTGCTATATAGACTCGATTACTATACTTGTGACTGTATTATAAGTGAAAGTAATTCGAAGTCCTGGAATTTAAGACTAGACTTTTCAAACTGTATGCTACTGTTGCTAAAAACTCACATTTCATCACTCGCAGGCTGTAAACCAACCTGAATTCTAATTCTAAGGCGATTTTGACATGTTTCGAACGCTATTACTGACAGAAACGTCTTATAATTTTTGTAATTGTAATTGTAATCGAGTCCGTCGACCGACTCTCTACTTTTACGTTTTTTCGAGCTTTCATGACCCCTACAGTAGGAAGAAATAGGTCTCCTGTTTCCGTGTGTCTGGCTGTCCGTTTGGCTGCCGTTCCAAATTTTTATTAGACAGATAATCTCCGAAAGTACTGGGACAATTGTTGTCAAATTTTGTATTTATATTAGGAACGTCATGTAGATGGTATAACGCTAACCGAAATTTGCCTAATCATCCTCACCAATAACGTGATGATATCATTTCACAATTGTACATAGTAAATGGGTTTTAAATTGTATAAAATAACATGTAGTTTATGAAGCCGTGTTGAGTTTTTATCGAAACGTCCAGATTTTTGGGAAAAGAATCAAAATTATAAAGCAACATTTTGCAATTTAATTTTGAATCTGCAAACCGGAATGCTTTGAAATCTTGCAGACGTTATAAAGTTATGATAATCATGATAAATTTTTAATCAAAATTATTTACTTATCCCCTCCAAAAGATTGATGACGTCAGCTCAAAATGTTGCCGAATAAATCCTTTCGGAAAAATCCAAAATATGATGAGTCTATATTTGGGAACAACAGTTGCTCCAAAAACACGTAATATACCTGAATACATGTGATATTTATATAAATTTCTGTACAAATCCTATCCTTCCTCTTATCCTATCTTTCGTCTACCTGCCCTATTGTCCAACTTTCTCTTTCAGTTTCTAGAATTTTCTAAACGCTTTCTTTAAGTTCTTCCACCTCTCCAAAACCGAACCTACGTGTCGACAATTTTTAAACACCATTCCTTTTTCTTCCTCGAGCTCTCAACCCGTAAGCATCTAATAAAAATCTGAAAACCGTGACCGTCCCTATTTCTTATTAAAATCCCCACCGATACACACAATTCCATTCATATTTTTTAGGCTTACTTACTGTTCATCAACTCCAAAAAATTTATGACGTCATCTCAAAATTTTGCTGAATAAATCCTATCTAAAATGATCAATCTATAATTGTAATTTATCACTGCATTCATATTTTTTAGCTTTGCTTATAGAGGGTGACTCCAAAAAATTAATGAATCAGTCAATTTATTTTATTGAATAAATCAAGAATAGCAAAACTGAATATTTTGAAATCTTGCAGCCGTTTTCAAGTTATTGAAGCATGGTAAATTGTTGATCAAAATATATCTGTTTAGGTCCCCCAAAAAACTGATGACGACATCTCAAAATTTTGTAGAAGAAATTCCACCCAAAATGTGCAAATATGTTCTTATTTGTGGTCGATCATTGGACTCATATTTTTTAGATTTTCTAAAACAGGGGACTCAAAAAATTAATGAATGTGTCAAATTTATTTTATTGATTAAATCAGGAACGACTCACTCCATTTTCCCAGAAAATTTTGGGAATACAATACTGTTATTTTTAGTATTTTACACTGCATCAATCCAAGTTGATATACGTGTATTTGTAAAAATGACGTCATCACAAAACGTTGCTTTTAGCAACAGTAGCAACTTAAATTCGAATTTGAAGACGATGTAAGCAACAATAGCTACTCGAATTCTAATTTCAAAACGATTTTGAGACGATTCAAACACCATTAGTGACAGAATGTTCAACACATAGAACTTTTATAAACACCTAATGACGTAAGTGAAAGAATTCGAAGATGCTGAAATTTTAAATACAATAATCAGGGCTAAAGGAGGAAATCGAGCTTGGAATGTCCTACATAAAAAAAGAATAAGAAAAAAGAAGGGCTCGGACTGTGTCCAGAATGGAGGGCCATATATCGAAAATCTTGTGTGGTTACTATAAACTGGCATCAAATCGGCTCTTTTCAGAACCAATAGTAATTTCGACAAATAAAGTAACAGTAAATTGGTACTGGTCAATATTTTGGAGAAGAATGTGCACTCTGCACTAATGTTGGTTAGTGGTTACACAAAAACCTAAATTCTGCGATCCCATATTACATACGACTGCAACAACTGTATAATCACAAATAAATGTTTCAATTTAAAGCTGGTTAGATGGTTGCTAATCTTATTATTACTGATACAATGCCTCAACAGAGTGAAAACTCCAATTACACTAGTTTACAAGGTTTTATATCCAAAGACAAAAATAGTTGAATCTGAAGGATTTGGGTTCAGGAAAATCAAATCTGAAAGCAGAAAAAATCCATCACGTCAGGTTTTTGAGATATTTATATAAACATATCCCGTATTTCTCTTCTTTTATACAACTCTTGTTATTTTTTTGTTTTTAAATATATATGAACATATAGTTCTTTTAGCAAATTTGTTTCATTTTACAAGATCATCTACGTCAATAAATAACATGAGTATCAATTTTTCAAGCTACTAGATTGTCATCAATATTTTATTTAAAATTTTTCAAGTATTGATTTTAGAATAATTGGTTGCTTTTGATTTCTCTACGGGACGTGATAATAAAAATGTGGGCTTGGTCTCACAAAGATCTTTTAAAAGGATATAAATTTGCTCAAAGAAATACAGGTTTATCTTTAAAAATAAAGTAGTTACAGGGGTTGTATCAAATAAAAGCAACACCTAGTATATATTATAAACATTATGACTGAAAATTAAAAATGATTAACACTAGCGTTTCTTTTATTGGCAGTACTGTCAGTTTTCCTTATAATAGACCAACAGTAACACATTTTCGTCCCAAAATCCTTGATACCTTCTTTTTAAGCATATTTGAACAGGTCTTCCCGCTTTAGGTACTATAATTTTACCACAAACGTAACAAAACTGATTTGCACTTACTTTGCACGATTTCGAAGACATGTTTTATGCCACAGTGTTAACATGAATCAATTTAACCTAACGTGAAGGTAAAAGCAAAGTTCATTATTTTGTATTTTTGAAAAAACCTGACGTGATAAGGATTAGTATCCATTTTTGGATTTGTTATCAGTAAGTAATTTAGAAGTAAAAAATATTTTTTTTATTTTTGGATATGAAAAAAAGTTTAAATTTGTAAATTAATGTCATTCTTAGGCAAGGAGCATAAATATTAACAAGAAAGAGTGGAGTGAAATTAGCAAGTTTAAAATCTTAAGCACATAAACGAAACACAATGAATGCTAGACAACTTGATGGAATGTGCTGTACTGATGAGATCAAACAAGATAGAAACTGCAGGCTACAGTTTTCCAACACGTTGTCTAGTCTTCGGGGTGATTGCAAATTAATGTATTTTAAATTTGGCGCTAATTTGATTCCTTTGGACGTAACAGTCGATACCATGTTTCCTTCTACCATGCGTTGGACATATGTATGACGGCGATGTTGCCAAGTTTCAGAGGTCAGAACGTACAGTTTATATGCCGGAGGTAACAACATACTAGCAGTGTATAAAGGTAAGCGACGCCAGCGCCAACGGTCTACAGCTAAACTAAAATAAAAAGTTGCGACTATGGGATGCACGTTATGACCTCCAGACGAAAATTGAAAATCAAGCTCCTAGCGCCCGCTGGATGATTAATAAATTATTTACAAGGCAAAACGTTTCTACCTCCGAAACCGGAGGTCAGAACGTTGTAGATGAGGTGACAACGTACTATTAGCACAGTAGATCAGTAACGAAACTTCAGCAATATTTGCGGAACGGGTGTGACCTTGGGAGCCCGTTCCCGGGAAACACGAAGATTCAAATATTTCGTAGCATTCGTATGTGATTCATATAATACTAATAATTGTACACAAAAATAAAAATGGTTGGCATGTACTAGTGACATTGGTCATTTTTTTCTTTTCTATAAATTATTAATATATTCAAGCAAAACATTTTTATTCAATTTTGACGTTTTAAACTGCGTTTATTAAAACCTTAACAAGTTTGACAAATAAGTTGTTATCCACAAGTGAATTGCAAAATTTTTAATTCACTCTTAATATTTTTAAATCACTCACAAAAAAATAAAAAACAACTTCAGGAACATAAACATTTTGCTTATTATTTTTAATAGTTTTCACAGAATACAATTTGTTTACAATTTTCACTAAAAGGTTGCTGCAACTAAATCAGTATTGTTTGACATATTTCTTTGGCTCTGTGAGGCGTCAATTTGGGAATTGTATAAATCCCACACCAATAGAATTCCAAAGAACGTTTCAGAAACTATTTACTACAGATTATTTCGATACAAGTGCAAGAACCAACTGTGAAACACTATTTTATTTGAAATGAAAAATTTGCCAAGGTGTTCTTTTAAATAAACTTCCACAACACATCTTCCCTGTATTCCGGTCTCTTCAACAATCATTAAGTGATGTGAGTTACCGGAAACTCACCTTGAAAGAACACAACTGTTTATGGTATGTTTGTGGATATTCATTAATACGAAAATTCTTACATCACCACTTCTGCGAAGTTTGTGAGAACTTTGCACATTCTTACGAAGTGGTACATCCTGTTTTAATTGTGACATTTTAAAGTTTTCAATGAAGATGTGATTTTTGGCGATTTAATGATGCCACCTGCACATTTTGCAGTTTATACTCCGGTAGTGGGTAATACATTTTGTGAGTTTTTCCCAATTTATGCACTGTATTCGTTAACTGGTTTGCGGCTAAAAAACGAACCATACAAAAATACCATTCCACCACCCCTGCAAAGACTTTCCTCTTGATTACCTCGTCTCAGTTTTTATTAGAGTTAGAATTTTTTACACACTAAAATTTAAAAATAAATCTTGGACCGCTCAAACACGCACACATCGAAAATTAAACTATTTCGTTTAACCTGCAGTTTGTTGACCTCTTTAGCCTGGAATTTTCTAGTATTTTTTACATGTATCGCAAGACTACGTCGTAAGTATCTATTACTTTGTTACAATAAATTTTACGTTTGTTTTTAACCCCATAACCCAACATCCCGTATGATTCCGTAAATAATATGACATTTCTTGTTGACAAAACCAGACAAAACGTTCACCGAAAACCTTAAAATGAAAAAGAAACTATGTTCTTCAAGGTCGGAGCACCTTTAGTGACGCCAGTGACCTCTTTATGTCGTTCCGTAAGCTCCCCATGTATTTCTTATGGAGTCAGCTGAGACTTTCATAGCCCTGCTATTAGTATATACTTCGGAGGTAACAACATACCGTGCATACATATATGTATGTCTAACAAACAGTTTGACCTCAAGTATTATGTGCACTCTTACGTGAAGCCAAACTGTATGCACCGGAAATTCGCTACGATCGTGTTTTACTGGGTGCCTAACTTAGGGGGAAATGGGATTGAATTCATTTATGTATGTACTTCGTGGTACAGCATTCTAATATAGCACTTTAAGAAAATTTAGTTTCAAATTAAAGACATTATTTTCACTTTATTTCTAATAAAACATAAAACAGAATTTGAATTAGGTTATTATCTTTATTTATAATTATTTATTACGGGTACATATAAAAGCAAACACAATGATTACATTTTTGATCTTTCATGTTGCAGAAAACTTTTTATAGAAGCTGTGGAGCGCCTTCTGAGGATGGGATGTTTTTTAATTAATTCGCTTATTTCAAATCCTGATGGATACAATTTTTCCGCAATGTAGGTGCCAAAAGCTTTACGAACAAGCTGCTTTTCTGGTGTACTCCAGGGACGTCGAATTTTTGCAGTATCACCTAGAATTTTTTCCTCAGATTTGAAATGTTTTAATAAATAAAATCATTATACCTACATTTCAAGTAATTGGTTTTAATATAGTGTTGCACCCACTGCCTTACTTGCTGCGCCGTTCGGGTTTGCAGAGTTTTTGAGTGAGCAATAGCTTCTGAACATTCTGCCAGACTAGGTACTGTTAATTTTTCTATGCAGTTTTTAAACAGAACTTTTGCTGTCGACTTTTTTGGTGTCAACCACACACGGCGTTTTGTAGTCACTAGAAATTAAAGTTTCTGATTTTTAGGATATAAGTATTACTGTATACTTACTTGGACCAAGGGTTTTTTGAATGTGGGAAACATTTCCGGGGTCCCACTCATCACTACTTCCACCGCTGTATGGTTCGGATGATGGAGCTAAAATGTTAAGATTCAAAATATAGGCAGCTTATTAGTCTTATTAGCCTAAACTAGCGGAACTATGATTTAACAAATTTTTTTTCTTAAAAAATTACGTGAATAATTATTGCAATCTGTTAGGAATACAGAAACTAAAATTTTAAAAGTTAATTTCTACAAGTGAATCGGATTTATTACGGAATATATGTTGTCAATGTCCTTTTACGGAATAACTAAAATCCTGGTAAAATCAATTGTTTAATATTTTCTGAACCATCATAATGTTTTTAAAAGGTTTAAATACATATATTCGTATGAAACGTTAAATTATAAAGTTTATAATGTTATAAAAATTGTTACATAACGCTTTCTGGTGCCAATATTCGTTAAGTGTCTGCAGAAAAGACTTTTCAATTTAGTATGAAACTAATACTTACAATAATTAAATTTTCTAACTTTTATTTTACTTTTTGGAGTCGTAAAAACTGGTTCCTGACTGGTACTTGGCGGAGGAGTTAAATTCCCAACTAAAAATATATAATTTAAAATTTGTCAATCATCGCAATCATTCATGTCATGGGACGAATGGCTACTTTAATGTGTTCTCAACGTTTCATGACTGTATCGACTTTTATTATAACAGATGATCTCCGAAACATGCTGGAATGCCAACCAATCTAATTATCGCCACCAACCATGTGATGACGTCACCCTTAAAACTGTGTATAGTAGGTGTTATTCAAATTTTATAAAGTAACATACTCCTAAATGTATACTTTCTGGATCCGCATTGTTTTTTAACCTTAGAAACCCAAATTTTTAGAAAAAAAAAAACACAAAATTGTTTGTAACCAAATTCTCTAAAATCTTGCGAACGTCGAAATATTGAGTCTATACTTGTAATAATATTAATAATAATAATAAAATAATATTTATTATACTTTAAAAATGTACACAGACATTAAGTAAGGTCAAAATAAAAGAACATAAATACACATATATCGTATACAAAACAATTACACCTTAGTATATTGTACATCAGTAGAATTAATTAAAAACCTGGCTTATAGATCTCATATTTAGGTCGTAAAGTGGAGATTCTAACAATTTTTGTCTCACAGTGTTCCTAAACTGTGGCTCCGGAAGTGCTGCGATATTGCAAGGTAAGCTGTTAAAGTATTTAGGGCCGTAGTAATTAATTGAATTGCGGCTTTTATATATTCTGAGATAATGAGGTATATACCATTACCACTCCGAGTGTTATATAGATGTCTATCACTAATTTTTGTATAGTTGTCTAAACATTTTTTTGTATGTATTAGACACTGGTAGACATATGATGCCGGTACCGTGAGTATGTTTAGTTCAGGAAAAAAATGTCTCACATCCGCTTGATAGTTCAAGTTCAGTATTATTCTGACCGCTTTTCTTTGTAACTTAAATATTCTACAAAGATGCGCTGTGTGTCCCCATGCTAGGATGGCATAAGCATAGTGACTTTCGAAAAGGCTATAGTAAACTAATTTAGTAATAGTTATTGGGACTTGTCTGCCGATCTTGCGTAGTAAATATATTGTTTTATTGAGCTTACGGCAAACAGCATCAACGTGAGCGTCCCAGGATAACTTTGAATCCACTATTACTCCAAGGAATTTTATATTTTCAAGATTCTCTGAAGTTATTGTTTTTGTTGAGAAGATCATTGAGGCCGTTTTGTCTTTGTTTAAGAAGAGACCGTTTTTCAGAAACCAATCCGCCACATTTGTTTGTGCTGAGTTAAGCCTGTCTACTAGTTTATTTGGTTCGTCATCTTTTAATAGCAGAGTTGTATCATCCGCGTATAGGATCATTTTAACATCTACATCTGCCGGTAAATTATTTACGTATATTAGGAAAAGTAAGGGTCCCAAAATGGAGCCTTGAGGCACGCCGTACGCGATCTTGCAAGGAGTAGATGTGGCGGAATTATATACTGTGACTTGATAACGATCTAATAGATAACTTTCTAGTAGTGTGAGAGATTGATCCGTAATTCCAATTTCTATTAATTTGCTGAGCAGTAAATTATGGTCCACATAATCGAATGCCCTAGACAAATCCCAAAACGCGACCCCAATATACATTTTTTCTTCAAATCCTTCAGATATATACGTTATCAATTCCTGAATCGCCAAAGTTGTCGATCTCTTAGCCCTAAACCCAAATTGTGAAGAACATAACAAATCCTTGCTATAGGCAAATTCCGTTAGTTGTTTGTGTAAAAGTTTTTCTAAAATTTTTGATAATGTTAGGATTATTGAAATTGGGCGGTAATTACTGTAGCTGTCCCCACTGTTTTTTTTATGAACTGGGAGTAGTTTGGAATATTTTAAACATTGTGGAAAAAATGCATGCTTTATACTCAGATTTATTAGTTTTGTCAACGGCGAAATTATTAAGTTTATTATATATTTAACCATGATAATGTTAAGTTCATCCAAGTCCCTACTATTTTTGTTTTTTATTTTAGTTACTGCATCTCTAAGTTCATTAAAACTTATTTCTTTAAAAGTGAACTTTGTAGGGCAATGTTTATTTGTTTGTGTGTCAGCTAGGTCCGCTAGAATTTCCGGGTCATTCGCCATTTTTACTTTTAAGTCATGAACAACATTAACAAAGTGGCTATTAAAATCCTCCGCATTGAGTACCTCAGAACAATTATTATTTTTATTACTATTTCTGCTGGTATTACTTATTTTCCACGCGTCCCCAGGTAAGTTGGGCGAGCTTTTGAGTACGTGTTCTATATTTTTCTTTTTGAGGTAGTTTACTTTGTCCAGAGACTTTAAATACTAGTCTAGTCTCAATAATTTTAGTTCTGTATGGTGTATTTATATTAGTTATAATGTTGTCAATGCAGTTTAGCTTTCTCGTGTTTTCCTTAACTAGAACTCTCATTTGGTAACTGTGAATAAGATCTAGGAAAGTCATTACCTTATGATCTGGTGAATTAAACGTAATATTAAAATCGCCTATTATTATTGCGTCCTTATCGCCCAACTTTAAAAGAAGGTTGTTAAATAAGTATAAAAATTCTTCAAAATTACATTTTGTCGGTCGGTAAATGGTAATGATATAAACCCCCTTGCCGACTAAGTATATTCCGGCTGCTTCCAAAACTCTTTCTTTACAAACCGATGTTAAATTTACAACCGAGTATCTTATGCTAGTATTTACCAATATCGCGCATCCTCCATATCCGTTGCTACGGCAAAAACTACCAGCGACCTTATATTTGAGTATTGTTAGAATCTCCATTTGCTCCATCTTCAGCCAGTGTTCGCTAAAACAGATAATGTCAAAAGGGTTGTCTAGAAAAAATAATTCTATTGCGTTAATTTAACATCTCAATGACTGAATGTTAATGTAGAAAATATTCAACCAATTGTCAGTTGTTAAACGTTCCTGGGACAATTTGCTACGTTTCCTCTCACTTGTTATCGAGGTCATTTGTGGTGCTGCGGTGGCTTCCTTGGGTGAAAATATCTTGATATTAAAACTCCGCTTGGCCAATATTCCGGTTTGTTAATTTTTTCGAGGTTTTCAAAATTAATGGTTACTTTGAATCTGGCGTGGTTTTCTTCGTGTTTGTTTTCAAGTAGTTCACAGATCATTTCCGGGAAGTCGTTCACGTATCTTGGGTCTGATGATGTTTAGCGTCCTTTTTTGTGTTGTTTAAGGTCGATTTTGGCAATTTCGAGTTTGTTTTGATTGTAGTGTCGCTTCTCGTTTTTATGTGTTCAATCGTGTCGACCATAGCTGCTGTCTCTCTTGATGGTTCGCCTTCAGCGCTGTTGGCGATATCGTTATCAGGTTTCTTACCGACCTTCTTGTCGGTGTTTTCAGGGTTTTTATAGTGTAGTAGGTCAATGTGACTCTTCATTAATTTGATAACACCTCTTAATTCGAGGATTAACTCATCTTTCTGTTTCAAAATGTAATGGAAAAGTTTATAATCTACTACTTTGTCATCTGCGTCCAGGAAAATGTCACTTTTGAATTCCATATCCTCGGAATCTTCGGAGGTTTCACGGCAAACAGCGGTGTTACATATCCAGTTCTTCTTCTTATGGAAACCTCGTAGATTCACATTAACGCAGCGGGGGTGGAAGCTTTTGGTACACACAGAGCACGTAATTAAGGCCTTAGTGTCGTCTTCGGCCGAATCGCAGACAGCACATATAACACGTGCGTTCTTGTCAGATATCACTACACTTGTAAGTAGTTTACCAAGGCATTCATAATTTTTACAAGAGCCTGTGAAAGTATAGATTCATAATATTTTGCATGTTTGAGATAGGATTTATTTGTCAAAATTATGAAAGTACGTCATCAATTCTTTGAAAGGGGATAAGCAGATACATTTTGATTAACAACTTATCTTGGCTATGATAATTTTACAATCTTTGCAAGATTTCAGAAGCATTAGGAATTGCAGCTTTAAAGTTATATTGTTACACAATAGTGATTTTTTCCCAAAAATGTGAATGTCTTCAAATTGTTGGTGGGAATAAAAGAATAAAGTTTGGTTGCTAAAATATCATCTACACAACAATCTTTCTGGTAGTTTTGGAGATCACTTACCTAATAAAGTCGCTGATAGACAGCCAGAAACGAGCCAGAAACTTTTTCGTCTTGAACAAAAATAAAACATCGAGAAAATAAAATCAGCCATCAGAATGAACCCCAGCGTATGCTCAGGAATTAAAAAGTTCTCTCCTAAGTTCTTTATTAAAAAACTTAGCAATATTTTGTGAATTTAGTATTAAGTGATTACCTTCAGTGCAAGTCCTAACAGAACAATTTGTGACAAGAGGTCGTTCTATATCTAAAAAAAAAAAAAACATAAGTGTTATAACAAAATGCCTATTTCTTTTCCAAAAATACCTGGATCAATAGTTTTGTCTTCATTTCTTTCACAAATTTCGTCCATGGTCATTTGGCTTTCTTGATCTAAGATTTTCTTTATCATTAAATCACCTACAACTATCTGCTGCCTGTAATACTCGTCGTGTATATTTCGTTGATGACCCATAAAATTAACGACGGTTTCTTTTTGATGATCCTGAAGGTTCATTGTTGAGGTCTTTGTTGCAAACTGTTTTCGTAGAAGGGTTGTTCTTATAGAACATGGATTTTGTAATTTTGCCATAGCTGTATACTTTCTAATTATTCGACACGTTTCTAAAGTTCTGTATCGCTGTCCTACCATTTTCCCCGGCAAGCCAAAGATATAAGGGTTATCGTCCGATACTCCAGCCTGACTTCTATAGTCATTAATAAATGTTAAATATTTCTTTATATAATGGGGAATTATAACTGCCACCGTTCTGTGAAGTTTTCCTCTGATCATTAATTTGTATGTGCAATCAACTTCTTTATTCTATTGTCACCTAAATTGTTGAGCAGTTCTGGGAGTACTGTATCACGCAAAGTCTGTATATTTCGAAAATCCTCCACAAGTATTCTTTGGGCTTCACCAGCTCGTTTTCTATTATAAACACTGATACACATCAGTGTGAGTTCCGCTAAAGTCTTCCAGTGTGTAAAAGAAAATTCTTCAGTCATGAGTCTTGTAAGTTTTTGCTGCATTTTTTAAAATGTAAATTTTAAAATTTTCAACATTTTTTGTCGTTGGAATGATACTTCTTTTCGTCATCATTTTTTTTCTTTTCATTTCACACAGATCTCTATGGGCTGGTTTATTTATTTTACCAGGAACTTCTGTTTTCAGGAGTTTAAAAAATCTTTTAACAGCTTTTTCGTTTCCATCGTCTCCTCCTCGAATATAATGACTTTGCAAAATATTACAACAAATTTTTAGATAATGTGTTATGGTCAATGCGGATGTTGATTTACTGTACACTGATGAATTATTATCAATTTCTCCCATCTGTTTTACTGCTTCAAGTGCCAAATCAAAATGTTGAGGGTAGAACAACTTATGAAATTCGTCAATGCTATTATCAATTTTTTTCACAGTTAAAAAATATGTCGCTAGAAACCTCAATTTGTTCCGTATCATATACTCCTGGTGTTCTCTATATTTGGGGACTAAATAATTGCCAATCAAAATTAACAGCATATCTTTTTTGACAGTATCCAATATTATATTCTGTTTCATTGGCGGCAAAATTTTCTCTTTTAGTTGCAAACATGCCGCCGGATGAATTTTACTAACCATGGCACGAGCAGCTCTTAAAACAGATCTACTAGCATTTTTATCTTTCAGATCTTTGCAGCAGTAGGCATAATGACGAGATAGTGTTATCTGTGAATAAAACCCTTTGCAATTAGGGCATGGTAAAGAGTCTAGTGAACCTTTTTGCACTCGTCTGATAAGAATGGGATTCTCTTTATTGCTCTTGTTGTAATTATAATTGCCACTTTTTCGTAGATTTGCTATAATTTCGCAACGTTCAGGACTACCTGCAATTTAAACTTACTTAATTACACATTCCAACTAACTTGATAACTAACCTTTATTGAAACTTAAGAATTTTCTTACTTCTGCCTCTTCTGAGTGACAAATTTCAAAATGACGTGCTAAATTAGTTTTGAGAGTTTTGCAAAAAATGCAAAACTTCTGCTTGCACGAATAGCGTGAGTTTGTTCCATAATTTTTTGTTGCTAGACGTTCGGATACTGAAATAAAACAATAATGACAAACATATTTTACATTGTATTATTTAGTGCATTAATTGCCTCCATTGATCGACTTGTTACTTTGAACTTTTCTCGACGTTTCATGACACCTGAGTACGAGTGGTCCACGTTTCCGTCTGCCTGTCTGTCTTCTATGAAGAGTTTTATGAGATAGAAAATGTCCGAAACTACTAGACCGATTGTTGTCAAATTTTGTATGTTTGTTAAAAATATCACGTTTAACATAATATTCTTAGCACATAGTTAATTTATGATGTAGAGGGTACAGCGCTAACCAAAATTTGTCTAATCATCTCCACCAACAATAGGATTACGTCATCTTTAAAATTTATAAAATAACATACTCCTCCACAAACAAAATCTTATAACATTTTGTAATTGAACTTTGAAACTGCAAAACCGTACGATCTAAAATGTTACAAACGTATTACGTTTATCGGAAGCAATATAAATCGGTAATCAATATTAAACTTATCCATTTACCCCCTCCCAAAAAATTGATGACATTTCAAAATTTTGTCAAATAAATCTTATCTAAAATGCGCAATATCCTATGCCTCTATTTTTGTGATTTAGCAATGCATTAATAGCTTTTAGAATTACTTATAAACGCTGGCTTAAAAAAATTTATAAATGAGGGAATTTATTTTATTGATCACAGTAAGAACGACTCACTTTATGTTCTCGAAAATTTGAGTATACAGCACCGTTATTATTAATATTAGATTGCACCTATTCAAATTGATATACGTATGTTTCCTAAAACGTTGATGACGTTATCACAAACATTTTGTGATGGACAAACTCACTTAAAACACACGCACAATATGCTCCTTTACCTGTACTGTAACAGTTCACACATATTTTAGATTTAATTTATAGCGGTTATCATAAAGAAATAAAATTTGCAAATTAAATTTTGAAGAAGCCGTATTTGTTCGACAGTACTTCACGGGCGAGTGAAGTTGTGGCAAAATAATCTTCGACCGTTGGTAAAGGGCTTTATTTTATTTGGAATCACAGAGAATGAAATAGTAAAGAATAATTTTTACAACGCGAAGATTATCTCCATTCCAAATGACTGCGCACACAATTAAACATATTATACACTAAGATCGTTGAAGTGTTAGAATTAGGGGTACAAATATTTTTAATAAGCAAAATTGAGCACAAAACATTAGTATGTACTACTTTTCAAAAGAAAATTTGTTAGTGTTTTTTTTATACTAATTTTTATAAATAATTCTGTGTTGCCACTTTCATTAACTAATGAAATGTTTTCAGTCAAACATCGCTTTTGTTTAAAAGTGATGATAACCTGTTTAAAAAAAGTGAATGTAATCCACTTTGAGCCTGTGTGCTAGATAGATATTCCACATTATTTTTTGTTCTATTGCTTGAAATATCAGCATGCCCTACTTAAATTAAAAGAGTAATTTTTACATAAAGACACATTATTTCTAAAAATTGCATATTTTTAAAATCACACCCACATTATACATTAAATACCTAATACGATTACGCTATGTCTACGTGGCAAGCATGTGGATTCAAAAATAAAGTCAAAAATGCGAAAAATAATTTCAACGTGTACCTATAATATGGCTCGACGAGTCTAATAAAAATCGACGAAGACGACAGACAGACGGAAACGTGGGACCTTTTTTATGCCTCAGAGGTCATGAAACGTCGAGAAAACATAAAAGCAGTCATTTGTCAAATGGACCCTATTTCATTACTTCACTAGTTCAGGCTGGAGAAATAAAATTATTTCGTTCTTACCAATTAGTAGTTTTTTTTCTTTATTTAGTTGTTGTTTCAAGTCTTCTAATATATCAGCAGCAGCTAGGCATTCCGTACTCTCAAAGGGTTAGATGGATCATATATCTAAAATTTCACATTAAATTTAAAATTGTACGAAACGGTTTTCCCTTCTCGTTATGAAACACATCAGGTGTGTATGCTGCACGTTTAAAAGGTGGAGAAATCCATTAAAAAAAAACAACAATAAAATGTTATTATCACTGCAAATACCGGAAGCAGCGATTCTGACAGCGAAATAAGTGACAGTAATTCTGTAAATAGTTCTGACAGCAACAGTTAAAAAAATATTCATTTGTGCAGATTTTTATTTTTGCAAGTTTATAAGCACAAGTAATAATAATATATAATGAAATTATACTGGGCGTTGTTATAATAATTTTATGTTTAATTAATTTTTATTTAAACATGTAGCGACGTGTTTATAATTAATAAAGTCATTTCGTTATCATGAAAATTTTTCTGCTTGAAATTTTACTCAGTTTGAAATAATACGTCCTTGCCTTTTTACCTACTCGGGATCGAAGCTCACAACCACTGTCACTCATGAAAATACAGCCCTATTTATATATATCAGGATACGGATGTAATGCATCAAGAATATAAGACTTAACACTAGGTAACTTTTATAACCCTGCAATCATTGCACTAGACCAGTTGAATAAATTAAGTATTATTGCTTGAAAGTCAAAGATAGAAACGTTACTTTAATTTAAATTTTTAACTATAGGTGGTTACGTAAATTCGATTTTCATACTTACCATCAATACATATAACCTTAACATTGTAAAATGCTTTACTTGATCCTCTCTCTATTCTTCTCTGGTTTTTCTTAATAATTTTTTCGTCGCATACATCGAATACCCCATTGGAGTAACGAATAAGGGCAAACCTTATACACATAATACCACGGCTAAAAAGGAGAATTAAAATTATTAATAAACATTCATTTTCAACAATACATTTAAAATGTAATCAAACTGGACAAATATTTAAATGATCTATTTGGAAAGGTTATTAAATAGATTTAGACTTTTTATGAAGTACCATACATTCACAAATAAATCTTAAAATACCGTACTAATAAGAAGACGTTTACTATACAGAGTAATTTTTTAACCTGAAAGTTTCAAATATTTCGGAAAATAAGTACTCTACAAAAAAATGTTAAATAGGAACTACCAGTTTTTATTACAGAATCGAAATCTACGGGTAAAGGTACAACTTTTTTGAAGACGAATTTCGAGTATTTCCATAAAATGTTGTATTTTTTAGTGCCAATGTATTGCAAAATCGTATGCATAGGTTCTCAGTGGCAGAAATCGAGAAAGTTTGAATTTCGTCGATTCAGCGCCATCTACCACGAATCGAAAAAAAAATTTTTCAAACAAATCATATGTATTTTTTGCCGTAGACTCCGAATCTGCAATAACAAACAGCAGTCCCTGTTTAAAGTTTCGAAACCCCTCCCCCACCTATAAGGAGAGGAAGCGGGGGGCTAAATTTACCACTAATGTATTTCCCCCGGGGCATAATTAAATTTTGATTATGGACATTTTTTTGGAGTGTTTATTTTTCTAGATATTTGAAAGTTTCAGGTTCAAAAAAATCACCCTGTATATTTACGTAAGATAACATATCACGAAGCATTAGTACAGTGAACCGTTAAAAAATTACTAATTAAAAAATATATAAAAATTAATGCGTTCTGAAATTAACCACGCCACTGGATACCGGATGAGCAGAATAAGAAATAAAGCAGAAAAAAGTATTTTAAGGACAAGAGTTTCATTTAATCAAAATTGCCATATATGTACTTGTGAACGACCTGTGATTTTACTGCAAAAGCAAAATTAGGCGGCTTTTGTTTTGTTTTGGTTAGGATATCGTAAATTCTCTATCAGTACCGACACTAAATGAAATCAACTTACTTGAAGAAACTGCCGATGCCGTCACGAATCACACAATCTTGTAACAAATTAATTAAACAGCACACTATAAACAGAGTATAAACCCAATAATGGACCACGAACTTAGCCACCGTATTGTAGTCCAAATAATATTTTACGCGGGAAACGAAGGTGTTATTGCGACACAAAACAGCGGAATTTAGACAGAGAAATGCATATTATTGCATAGTGCATGCGTCATAAAAACGAGCGAAATTGAAATCAACTACAACCTTGCAGTATTAT